CCTATAATTACTCATGTCCAGGGGGTCCAGGGAAGGTTTTTTTCAGAAGCGGCTTGACTGCTGCTTCCTTTAAACAAGATGAAACATGTCCTTCCCTGAAAGATGCATTGATGATATCCGTGAGGAATCTCCTAAATGCATCACCCCCCTGGACGGCCAGCCATGATGGGCAAGGGTCGAGAGGGCAGGTCGTTTTCTATAGATAAAGAGGAGCAGGAGAACTACATGGGTAAAACATGACTATACCAGACCTGATATTATGTCCTTGTTTGGATTATGTGTGAAATTGGAAGACAGAAGAAGCTATTATTATGTGCCTTCAAGCCAACTCCAGCTTATGGTGCCTCCTAGGGTTTTCTTGGGCAATTTTATTCAGAGGAGATTTGCCATTGCCTTCCTCTGAGTGCATCTTGCCCATAATCAACCAGTGGGTTTACATGGCTGAGCCAGGATTCAGACCCTGGTCTTCTGAGTCCTAGGGCCTTTACAGACTGCCAGAAATAGTGCAAATTGAGGCCACTTTAACTGTCCTAGCTCAGTGCTAGGGAATCATGGGAATTGTATTTTTTCTGGGACATTGAGCCTTCTCTGCCAGAGAGCTCTGGTGCCACAATAAACTATAGTTCCCATGATTCCTTAGCATTGAGCCAGGACAGTTAAATAAATAAATAAATAAATAAATAATTGTTATTTCTAGCCCGCCCCTCTGCTTGGCAATCGGGGCATAATTAAAAACAGAAAACAGATTAAAACAGCCAATCCCTGTTTCCCCAACCCTCCCACCCCTTAAAACTAGATTAAACTAACATGGAATTAAAGTGGCCTCAATTTGCACTATTTCTGGCAGTAAAGGCCCCTAGTCTCAAAACTCAAGCCACTGCACTACATTGGCACTCACAGGGGAAGCAACTTTGTACTAATTTGGATTATTTGTCAACCAAGCCCAGTATTGGCAATTGGTCTTTGGCAGAACATTCTTTTTTCATCAGGTGCTTTTAACTGGAGATACAAGGATCAAACCAGGGACTTTCTGTGTGTAAAGCATAGTGGGAGAGCTCCCACGTCTTCGCTGCCATCTCTTCAGTTTGTCTCCTTTATGTTTCCTCTAGGTTCCTTCTGTGCTTTTCGCCCCAAG